TTTTCCTAATGTCCAATCTAAACCTCCCTTGTTGCAGTGTAAGCCCATTGCTTCATGTTCTATCATCAGAGGCCAAGGAGAACAATTTTTCTCTCTCCTCTTTGTAACACCCATTTAGATACTTGAAAACTGCTATCATGTCCCCTCTCATTCTTCTCTTTTCTAAACTAAACATGCCCAGTTTTTTCAGTCTTTCTGCATAGCTCATATTTTCTAGACCTTTAATAATTTTTGATGCTCTTCTCTGGAACTTCTCCAATTTCTCCACATCTGCCTTGAAATGTGGTGCCCAGAACTGGACACAGTAGTCCAACTGAGGCTTAATCAGCTAGGAGTAGAGCGGAAGAATTTCTTCTTGTGTTGTTGATAACACTCCTGTTAATGCATCCCAGAATCACGTTTGCTTTTTTTGCAACAGTGCCACACTGTTGACTTTTATTTAGTTTGTGCTTAACTATGACCTCTAGATCCCTTCCTTCTTAAACAGTCACTTCCCATTTTGTATGTGTGAAATGGATTGTTCCTTCCTAAGTGGAGTTCTTTGCATTTGTCCTATCCTTCAAAGTTGTTACAACTCCTCCCAGCTTGGTATCATCTGAAAACTCAATAATTGTACTCTCTATGCCATCATCTAGATCATTGATGAATAGAACCAGTCCCATAGCAGACCTCTGCAGAATCTCACTTATGTCCTTCTAGCATGATTGTCAACCATTAATAACTACTCTCTGAGACTGCTTATCCAGACAGCTATGCACACATCTTAGAGTAGCCCCTTCTAAGTTGTATTTGTTAGAGAAGAAACAGACAACCCGGGAGCGATTGGGGTAAAAGGAACTGCTTTATTGCCTACGCACGTTTACCTCGGACATTAACACAATGTACAAGTGGCCACACCCTGGCATTAGTCAGACCCTAGTATCTATCACTACTTTTCCTAAAACCTTATTTGGTAAAGTTAACTCCCCTAAAATGAATATTAATAAGCAAATTATGAATACAATTATATCCTCCCCTAACAAGTATTTACAGAATTTCTAATTCAATCAGCACATTCCTATGGTACAAACTAAAAGGTTACAGAGATTACAAGGGTTTTAACCCTGAAGATATTTTATACAGCGCCAATGAGGATAAGCAAAAGACACAGCAAAATAGGGCAGCTACCCC